GGTCGAGGCTGCGGTGGCCGGGAGCGGCCACTGCACTGCAGTCTGGGTGACAGAGTGAGACTCCAATTCAAAAAAAAAAAAAAAATGAACAACTAAATGGGCTTATACTGTTTGTATTTTAAAATATCTGAACTACCCTTAACTGTACCTCACAGTATCATAATAAAAAATATTGATAAATAAAAATAAAAAAAATATCTGAACTGAAACTTTAACCTAAAAATTACAAATTCAGATGTGTCTAAAGGTTAGAGAAGTAACCTAAATGCATGCAGTGGCAACTTGGTGACTGTAAGTCCTGTAGAGTTGTGTCAACTGTACTTGAATGTTGCCGTGTTGGAATGCAGGCCCCATGTTAAAAAGTCTTCTGGGCCAGGCTCGGTGGCTAGCCTGTAATCCCAGCACTTTGGGAGGCTGAGGCAGGTGGATTACCTGAGCTTGAGGGTTCGAGACCCACCCAGGTAACTTGGTGAGACCTCGTCTCTACAATAAATTTTAAAACAATTAACTGGATGTAGTAGCACACGCCTGTAGTTCCAGCTACTTGGAAAGCTGAGGTGGAAGGATCGCCAGAGCCCAGCGGGTTGAGGCTGTAGTAGCCGGAAGCGTGCCGCTGCACTCCAATCTGGGGTTACACAATGAGACTCCAACTCAAAAAAAAAAGTCAGCCGGGCTCGGTGGCTCAGCCTGTAATTCCGCGCCTTTGGGAGACTGAGGTGAGTGGATTGCCTGAGCCCGCGGGTTCGAGACTCGCATGGGCAGCGAGACCTCATCTCTACAATAAATCAAAAAATCAGCCGGGCGTGGTAGCACATGCCTGTAATTCCGACTACTCGGAAGGCTGAGGAGGAAGGATCGCCGGAGTCTGGCAGGTCGTGGCTGCGGTGGCCGGAAGCGGCCACTGCACTCCAGTCTGGGCGACAGAGTGAGACTCCAACTCAAAAAAAAAAAAAAAGTCTTCCGATTTTTTTTCCCAAGAAAATCCAGAGATACGTATTCCTATGTGAAACCACCCAGTGTTAAAATAATGCCAGCTTGAATTTAAAACCATTTAAATGCTATATAAATCAAAAACCTCATGACTGTGAGCCACATTTGGTCCTTCTTATAACCTTTGCTTAAAAAAAGGTCTTCAGTAATCCATTTAAACATTCCAACAAGGTCAAATGAGGGGTAGTCCTGAGGTATTTGGAATTTGCAGTAAGGAAGCCTTGCCAAATACTTCTGGCATTTTCCTTTCAGCACAACCTACATGTTGCAGATCTTCAGGTGAGATATAGTACAGCAATCTGATTCAAAGCTAGAGAACCCATGCCGTAAGTTTGTTACTCTAAGTAAAAGATTAGGCAATTCTCATGCTATTTCCTTGTCTCAGAATGCTGCAGAAAGGCTCTGTAGATAATGAAAAAGATGGAGGACCCCAGTTTGCAGAGGTGTTTGTCATTGTCTGGTTTGGTGCGGTTACCATCACCCTCAACTCAAAACTACTTGGAGGAAACATGTGAGTATCATTAAAATGTACCCTTTTTACCCCCCTTGCCAGGTAGCATATCTTAGATTTTTAAGGATGCCAGGCTAGTTAGATTTCTTTTTTAAAGAAAAATCAAACTAAATAAGGACCAAAGAGAAAGTTCTCTTAAATCCACTACCACTGAACAGAGATAACCTAGTTGAATCAAATTATCTAAAGTCATTTGATAAGCTTCAGACACTCTCTCCAGACCCTGAAATCACAAGGAGGATTTTTGTGTGTTAGAAGATGTACATTTTGTGGGGCAAGTGGCTCGTAGCTTTCAACAAATTTTTAAATATGTGTATAAACTAGAAAGGATTCGGAACCACCATCCTAGAGATTCAGTGGGAAAAAAAGGTCTTTATGAGCTGGAGCAGATCATTTGGTATTAGATGATTAACTCTTAAGAGGTTTAAGAAACTGGGCTCGGTGGCTCAGCCTGTAATTCCGCGCCTTTGGGAGGCTGAGGTGAGTGAATTGCCTGAGCCCGCAGGTTCGAGAACCACCTGGACAACTTGGCGAGACCTCATCTCTACAATAAATCAAAAAATTAGCCGGGCGTGGTAGCGCACGCCTGTAGTTCTAGCTACTTGGAAGGCTGAGGCGGAAGGATCGCCAGAGCCCAGGAGGTCGAGGCTGAGGTGGCCGGGAGCATGCCACTGCACTCCAGTCGGGGCGACAGAGTGAGACTCCAACTCAAAAAAAAAAAAAAAAAGTGGTTTAAGAAGGGAAGAGGAAGAGTATGGGGAAGAAAAAATTAAAGCATGTACTTAATAATTAATGTCAGAGTATAGATATTATGTATCAGGAAAGAGGCAGCAATCCATGATACAGAAATCTGTGTAACAAACTGTGTCATGACACTCATCAGCTGTATTTATGATCTTTATGTGGATGTATTTTGTTTTTAGATCTTTTTTTCAGAGCCTCTGTGTACTGGGCTACTGTATACTTCCATTGACAGTGGCAATGCTGATTTGCCGGCTGGTACTTTTGGCTGAGGCAGGACCAGTAAACTTCATGGTTCGGCTTTTTGTAGTGATCGTAATGTTTGCCTGGTCTGTAGTTGGTAAGTATGTACTTATTTCTACAATAGCAGAACAGACAAAAACATAAGTCAAAGATGAAGACCAAATGAGAAGCAATGTAACTCCAAAGTCACATGTGAGTGATAGGATTCTTGCCAGTGTCATTCATGCCCCTTTGCCCCAAGTATGCATTGATGGGGATGGTGTCCACCTTATCAGGGTTGAGTATCTGGACTTATAAGATGTAGAGAGTCTTTTTTTTCCTTAAATAATGTACAGGGTTGGGAACATAAATTACACTACACTCAGCTCTGTCCTGATATATACAAGGCATAGATGATTTGTGAAATGACATGAGTGTTTTCCTGACTAATCATGGTAAAAATAAAAGCCTTTATAGATTGCTTATTGTAGGTCAGGCACTGTTGTAACCCTCACAGCAGCCCTAATGGGTAAATGCTATTATTAGTTCCATTTTTTTTTTTTTTGAGTTGGAGTCTCACTCTGTCACCCAGACTGGAGTGCAGTGGCCGCTCCCGGCCACCGCAGCCTTAACCTGCTGGGCTCCAGCGATCCTTCCGCCTCAGCCTTCCAAGTAGCTGGAACTACAGGCGCACGCTACCATGCCCTACTGATTTTTTGATTTATTGTAGAGATGAGGTCTCACCAAGTTGCCCAGGCGGGTCTCGAACCTGCGGGCTCAGGCAAGCCACTCACCTCAGCCTCCCAAAGCGTGGGATTACAGGCTGAGCCACCGAGCCCGATTATTAGTTCCATTTTATAGATGAGGAGCTGTCACAGAAATGTTAAACACCTTGCTGTAGGACACATAACAAGTGAGTATGAGAGTCAGATTTCAAACCAAGCAGATCATGTACCCTTAAGAACTATACTGTACTATCTTCCAGTATAGGTTGTAAGTATCATTATATAGTGCTTTTCTGTTTCAGTAGAAAATTTTGCTAAAGATTTGGAAGGACTTATAGCAATGGCAATAAATGCTATGTACTCATTGTTTTTACATTTGTAAAATTTTTTTTGTAGATTAGAAAATAGTTTATTTAAAAGGTAAATTAGAGAGAGTGAAAGAAAGAGGAGATTCACCTCCCCAAGGCAGGGAAGGGGACCAAAGCCAAGAAACATAGCAATGGCCATAGCTCAAAGAGCACATAGCCACATCAGAATCTAGTAAGGCAATGACTGTAAGATTTTTAAAAAACATTCCAGCTTAAACTGAAAGTGTTCACTAGCTTCTGATTTAGTGAGATGAACAGACTGCCTAATATTTTTAAGTGTAGTAACATCTCATTGCTCCAGAACATGGTTGAAAGAAGTAATCCAAAAAAGGTCTGAGAGAGCCAAAATTGATGTTCCGAAGACTGTATATTAAGCTTGGGTGCTTTACCCATGGAAGAGCCTCTCATTCCCTCACTTAGATTCTGAAAATTAACACATATGTTCTAACTAACTTAGTTATCCAGTGTCCAGGACCTATGCAGATTAGAAAGTAACAATCTTAGGAGAGGCTTTAGTTCAGCAAGTATTTATTAATCACAAACTATGTGTCAGGCACAGTGCTAAGCATGGTCTCTGCCCATGGAGTTCCCAATCTATTGGAGTAGCCAGACATGAAAACACTTAAGGGATAGGTGGTCAAGGTGGGAGGTAGAGGTCTGTGCAGAATATAGTGGTGACACAGAAGAGAAAAGTGAGCAGTTTCTATCTGGGGTAGTAGGAATTCTAGGTGATTGTAATCCAAGTTGGAGTGCAGTGGTGTGGTCATAGCTTACCACAGCCTTGAAATCCTGGACTTAAGTGATCTTCCTGCCTCAGCTTCCTGAGTACCTGGGACTACAGTCCATGGTGCCAGCTAGAGGGGTGATTTTTTTTTTTTTTTTGAGTTGGAGTCTCATTCCATCGCCCCAGGCTGGAGTGCAGTGGCACTCATGCTCACGGCCACCTCAGCGTTGACCTGCTGGGCAAAGAGTGATTCCTGATGAGTAAAAAGATGAGTAGGTTTTTCTTGACTGGACAAGAGAGGGATGACATTTTAAAAAGCTGATAACTTAAGCAAAACAAGCTCAAAAAGTGAAGCAGTATGAGGCCATTTACCATAGAAGTGAGTAACCTTACACATATTTATAAGCCTGTTCGGCATACTTCAGTAACTTTTCAGAAAAGGGTAAGAAGTCCTTTTTAGAAAGGTTTCCATCCAAAATGGTTGAAAACTTTTAAAGTTTTAATACTTGAAATAAGACATCCTCAGCCTTTCAACCCATAACTGATAAACTATGTTGCAGAATGCCATTGTTTCTGAGAATCACAAATATATCTGAACTTTTAGTGTAATTCTATGTTCCAAATTATACCAAGCACATGAAAGTTTAGTAAATGTTATTGTGACAGTATTAAATATTCCTTTTTGTTTTGTTTTGTTTAGCTTCTACAGCTTTTCTTGCCGATAGCCAGCCTCCAAACCGCAAAGTTCTTGCGGTTTATCCTGTTTTCCTGTTTTATTTCATCATCAGCTGGATGATTCTCACCTTCACACCTGAGTAAATCAGAAAACAGAAATTAAAAACCAGTGAATTGAAAGCTCTTCTGAAAGATGCAGTTCACCATGGAGTTTTGCCTCTGGTTCTCTTCTGTCTTAAATTTTGGAGATATTTGCTTAACTGGGTAGGTGAGGAGATTAAAAGGGAGTCATTATAGCACTGTTTCCACTTCCATGAGGAACTGATGTTTGAAAGGCTGTCCTTTTCCTCTTGATGTAATTTCTTTAAAATGCGTGTGCACACTACACACAGTAGAATGCCTCCTTGAGGCATGATGAAGTCACTGTGGTCCATTTGGTTGACAACCAGTGACTTGGGAAGCACATGGATACAGCCTACCAGTTGAATACAGTTGATAACTATTTTTAGTTTTGAGAATTCCAGTTCAGGTGCAGCTCTTAAACACATTGCCTTATGACTATTAGAATATGCCTCTCTTTTTTCATAAGTAAGAATGGATGGTCTATATTCATTTTCTTTTATTTATCTCTTAAGCTTAAAAAGACAATGACAGAGGTTAGGAGTGGGGTTCATAGATGGGGAATGAGAAAATACACATTAACCAACATTCAAATTTTGGTTAGAGGAAGTTTTGTACTTGTTGCTTTTTTTTTTTTAGAGCCTCACTCCGTCACCCAGTCTGGAGTGCAGTGGCACGCTCATGGCCATCCCAGCGTCGACCTACTGGGCTCCGGCAATCCTTTTGCCTCAGCCTTCCAAGTAGCTGGAACTACAGGCGCACGCTACTGCGCCCGACTAATTTTTATTTTATTTTATTGTAGAGAGGAGGTCTTGCCAAGTTGCCCGGTCTGGTCTCAAACCCATGTGCTCAGGCAATCCACTCACCTCGGCTTCCCAAATTTCTGGGATTACAGGCTGAGCAACTGAGCCCGGCCCATTGCTTTAAAAAAAGAGCAAAGAACATGTAAAGAATCACCTCTTAGGTCCTTTTTCTTTTTTTGAGTTGCGGTCTCATTCTGTTGCCCAGGCTGGAATGCAGTGGCTTGATCACAGTGATCATAGTTCATGGCAACCTTGATCTCCTGGGCTCAGGTGATCCTTCCACCTCAGGATCCTGAGTAGTGGGAATACAGGTGTGTGCCACCACACCCAGCTAATTTTTTTTATTTTTTGTAAAGACAAGGTTTCACTATGTTGCCCAGACTGGTCTCAAATTCTTGGACTCAAGCCATCGGCCCTCATCAGCTTCCCAGAGGGCTGGGATTACAGGTGTGAGCCACTGTACCTGGCCTTGTGTAGTCACCTTTTTGCCATGCTTAACAGTGCCTCAGTTGGCACTGTAGCTGGTAATCTTGCTCTCTAGCTTCTAATATGCAATCTAGGATGGTAGCAGTCAACATGTAATTTTCCCTCTACTGAAGTTCTCAATGGTACAATGCTGGAGCTTATCCAAATAGAAGATCCCAGAAAACCACACTGGTAGGTCCCAAATGTATATTATCATGTGGGCACATTCTCTTAGAGTGGGATGAGGCAGTTTGGATACAGCATGGCTCTAAGGAGCTCTTTATTATTCTGTGTGGTTTGGCCTCTAACTAGAAAGTAAAGCTAAATCAGAAGCCTGCATTTATCCATGTGAACATGGAGGGATTTAGTGTTCTGATGGCTGGTTAGCAGAACAGCTAGATGCTTAGAGCATGATGTAGGATGAGATGGGTTTACAGCTGCTGCCTTTTCATAGTGGGCTTAGCAATTTTTTCACTAGATATTTTTTTCAGAATGGGGAATAACAATTTATTTTGATTTGGGGCTGTCACGCTAGTAAGCTCTTTTTTAGGCAAGTACATTTTGCACATGTGCACTTGTATTCTCAGATACTTAGGCATACAAGTGTGAAGGTTTTTCAGGGAGCAGAGCATATGGGACAGGCTGAATCTGAGCTTAACAGGGCTCCTTTAAGGTAATATGAGCTGTTGCCTTCTATAAATTACACACTGAAGAACTCTGTCAAAGATTAGGAGTCAGGCAGAAAACACTAATTGTAAATATAGAGTTAGTTTATAAAGAAACTTTTTTCTTTTTTCACATTTTTTCTTTATCATGGAATTTGAATATTTATTCATTTTGTATTTAAATACCTACATATAGATATATGATTCTGAAAATGTATTTTCTCCATCCCCAGATTAATGAAGTGAGCAATACTAGGCCAAATGGGTTCTTGGTATGCTACTCAATTACAAGTGGGTTCCCTCTGTTCCAGCCTTGTTCAGAGGCTTTTGGTTATATTATTTGTATTTATTGCAATTTTCCTTTTAAATTGTAAAATAAACCCTTGTGAGGACAAAGCCAATGTTTCAGTCTTGAATTGGTAAAGATAATTTTTTGGAACTGATCCTAATTTTGAAATTGGTCCTACTCTCTCCCAAAAATTTCATATTCTGTCTCAATTATGATAATGTAAAATTAAAATAGTAACTGTGCTTCTCAAAGGGAATTAAATTTTTACTGAATTTTACTCAGGCTAGACATTTGGTCAGAAATTCCTAAGGCCACAGCTTTGGGGGTTTGTGTGGATGTATGTGGAGGCGGGTTGTATACATATTGGGTGTTAAGGCAGCTTGTTTTATGTATTAATCTCTGCTCTTGGGTGACCTGGAGAATGGTTTTATTTGATTTAAATGAAGGTAGATAAAATGGATGTTTTTTTTTTTTTTTTCTGAAAGTGGTCAATTTGAAGGTATAAATAAATATTTTCTTAATATAAGCAAAAAAGTGCATTACTTTCTGTGACAGAAGTTAGGACCTGATGTCTGGAAGTTGTAATCCTCAATACAACTTTTCCTGATTTGCTGCAAAGGCACATGGCTGAAAAAAATGAGGTCTACAAGGACAGGGGACTCTCATAAAGGAAATCCTGTTGCAGGAATTGAGAAGGTTCATGCTTTAGCTGAAATCCAAGAATGTGAGCATCACCGCAGGCACATGGTGTATCATTGCCATCATGAGTAATCACTTGTTGCTCCTACTCCTGAGACTAAGACTCTGTTGTTATACTCTTTAGCAGTAGGAAGAGTGAAGATTGGATTTAATTGCTGTTCAGAGTATAAAAACTCAATTGATGCCAACATATTTGAATGTGCAGTATAGTTTTAAGTCAGCCATTAATCATTAAATCTTTTGCCTCTGAAAAGGTTTATTACATGAGTTGATTTTTATCTTTTCATTGTGGTAGGGTTTTTCTGTTGGGCAAGTTGGGGTCACAGGGCACGGGCCTGGTAAGCATTTTACTGTTTGCAATATTTGTCTTTTTATAAACAGTATCCCCCAAAATGTGATTTGAGGACTAGCAAGCCGGTATTTGGAGATTTAATTGCGTGCTTTATATAATCTAACTACTTACTGTATTTGTACTGCCTGTTTATTCCTGAAGATGAAAGTTTCCTGTTAGTTCAGATTCTTGGCTAACATCAAGTCATTGAAATTTATCTAAAGCTTATCATGATTTGATAAGACATCCATTGCATGCAGCTGTTTTCAGATGTAAAACACTGAAATTGTGATTCTTAATTAGACTGTTAGTTTCTGAGACATTTGGATGGAAATAAATGTATGAATGTTAATTCATGTATATATATTAGAAACACTTTTCTAGATTCTGTGGGCTTTTGTTAAAAATAGGTAATTTATTGAGATTTACTTAGGCTATAGAATGGCCAAATAATAATGAGAATAATAGCACTAGTAATAATAGCTAACATTTATTGGGCACTTACTGTGTGCCTGACACTATTCTATTTTTTTAAGAACTTTTGAAATAACAGCTTTATTGAAATATAGTTTGCCATGAAATTCACCTTTTAAAGTGTACAATTCAGTGGTTTTTAGTATATTCACAAGATTGTGCCACCATCACCACTATCTAATTGTAAAACATCTCATCATCTCACAAAGAAACCCTGTACCTATTGCCAGTCACTCCCATTCCGTCTTCATCCCAGCCCATGGCAGCCACCAATCTGCTTGCTGTCTCTCTTGATTTGGCCCGACAATGTTCTTCAGTGCTTCCTGTAGACCTCCTCTAATCTACATAAAGTTCTACAAGTCTCATTTTATGTAGAACATTGAGGCACAGAAAGATTAAGTACATTGCACAGGGTCATACAGTAATTTGATTTACAACAGGAATAACACATTTGATGAGAGCATAGCAGTACACAATTTTGAATTGCATTGTTATCTATATTGAATGAATATACTCCTTCCCCAGGAGATGTTCCTAGTTACTAGCCTTTGTACCTTAGAACTGACTGGATGTAGAGAACTCTTGTTTGTTTGTTCTGAGTAATGAGCACTAGATCAGCAGCATCTGAGAAGAATACAGGAGCAGTTATATATTGGAAGGAATTAGGTTTGTTACCCTCACCCCTCTGAGCCCCTTTTCTCTTCCCCTTCCTTCACCACCACCACCACCACCACCACACACATCTACCCTTTTTTCTCAAAGTCTTAAGAATCAAACAACTTCTGCCTCTTTCTTTTTAATTCTCCCAGAGGAATAGTTAATGTTAATGCATCAAAATATAACCTGTCTATTCAGGTATTTATAGTCAAGGGATGCATTGGTTGCTTATAGTACCAGTTACTTATAGTACCAGTTATACTACTCAGAGAGCAGTAGTGCAAGAATATAATGCCTTTCTATTTGGATTAAACTAGGTGGCCACATGCTGCTCTTGTTCCTTCTCTTCTCCTTTCAGAGACATTGTACTTTGTTCCATCACTGCTGGTTATTTCCTGGTCCTTTTCGATACCCCACTTAAATCCTATCTTTCCTATAAATAACAAACCTGTGCAAAGAAGAAATCTGTAAAATGATTTGTGAATGTTAAATGTGTAAATAAAAAACACTGGAAGAGGAGAATATGTGTTTGCTTGTCTTTGTGCTGAAGGCACAGAGTTATTTGCTGCATATGGATTTCAGATACATTGTCATCAGACAACACTGAATACTGTGTAGGATTGTGCAGGGAACAAGAAAGAAAGGGAAGTCACATTTGTTGAACAGACACTATATTCCAGGCATTTTTCAAGTTGCTTTACAAACAATGTCTTCTCTGATCACAGCAGCCTTTTGAGGTTAGTGTCATTATTCTTTAAGTTGAAGAATCTAGGGCTCAAGGAGGTTAAATAAATTGCCCAGAGTCACATACTGATTGGTGTAACCAGAATTCAAATTCAGATTTTCTATGGCTCCAAAGCCTGTTTGTCCTATTACCAGCTCCTTGCCAAATTAAAATCATGCCTACCCACTTAAATGAAACTAAGCCAGGTCAGTCGGCAACTTAGGAGCTTCGTGAGAAAAACTGTTTTCAGCTTTCTGCTGGGGACTATACCTGTTCCTGCTCTCAACTTATAAATTATTTGTAGAAACCAAATTACTCACTGTCTTACATATTTGCTGAAAAATGTCGTGGTTTTTATTTTTGGTACCACATAAAATAGGGTGATCAGTAAAAACAGGAGGAAGTTTTTGAAGTATTGAGAGAATTTGTATCATCCAAGAGAAGAGGAAGGGCATTCCAAATGGTAGAGGATATTTATGAGCAAAGGAAAGAGGGAGCAAGTAGGTCTAAAGCTGTCC